TGGTGTATGATGAGTGGTGTATGATGAGTGGTGTATGATGAGTGGTGGTTGAACAGCTGTTGAATGTCCGTAACACGGAAGTTTTGCACACTAAACTTCCTTTGAAAAGTATGGTGTTCCCAACCACTTCAAAGCCTGCATGGCCTCCAACTCCAAATCAACAAATCCAAAGCGACAATGCACATCTGCCGATGATGAACCGATGCAAAGGCTGGACGTCTTGTTCTAGCTACAAGCAGGGCCCACGATGAAATTTCTCAGGTAAAACTGCAGGTACGTCTGGCTGAGATATCAGCACGGAACTTGACCCTCTTCGTTGGATCACCAGTCAAGTCCGTGGGTGATCCCTCGTGACTCCAGAGGTTGTGACACGTTTATGAGAGCACACACGCACGCATGAGAGGGCACACATGAGAGCACATATATGCGCGCGCAGGACACACATGACAGCGTACGCCGTACGCGAGCGCAGTGAGAGCACACACGCACGTGAGCACACTCGTGAGCATGCTCATGAGCACATGAGGGCAGAACCCCGATGAGAAGGCACATGTGAGAGCTGAGCGTGCGCAGGGAAATAGAGAGAACGCACACACTGAGAGCAAACATAAAAGTATATAAGAACATGCGACTACGAAGGAGCACAAATACTGCAAGGTTCACCAAAAAAAAGCACCTTCCACGGAATCTGCAAACGAACCCTGCCTTACACGCACCGTAAGAACCCCTTAGCTTCGATCAACACCAACAAAAACTGTAACGTGACTTGTGGAATGACCCTGAGCTCGCGAGGTTGCTGCAGCATCCTCGCTGGATCTCTCCGGTGTGATTTGCAAGATTCTGCTTTGAAGATGATATGTTTCAGAAGGGCAACTGCAGTGGTGCTGCCTGAAGCAATCAAGAGAGACACGCACTCCCAGTGTTGCCCCGCAATCGCCAAGGACAATGGACTGTAATCACCTGGAATTGGCAAGCTGCAATAGCCATGCTTTGTTTTTTGCGACCTGTAGACCTATCTTCGTTGTTCCCTTTACATTTAAGCTCGAAGGCTGACAGTAGCCTGGGCAAACTCGCAACTGTAATAACTACAGTCAAGTGTTCTAACATCTAGAACCCTTGTCAAAACTCACTTGCGGGCAAAGGGATCCTGAGGTCTGTACCCCTGGGCGCGCAAGATGCTGGAAGGCGCGGTTGGCTGATGGGAGCACCCGCGTCTATGAGAATCCTCACTCTCAACGCGCAAGAAAACTCAGATGCGCCGATGGAAATCAACTGGATATAGGAAGTGTTCCATCTCCAAGCATCTTTGGGGAAGGAGCTGTATGGCAAAGGGTCTTCCGGGTTGAGTCCCAGCAGATTGAAGCAAGTGACAGTGCAGAACTACAAACGGACGGACGGGCCTTGTTTGCTCTAAGTCTAGAAATACGCAATCTAATATATATATATATATCCAAATATTGCATTCCAAGAAGCAGAAAGTATGAGAATGATGAAATGTGTCCAAACAGCTGACAAGTCACTTCAAGACGCTTGTCAGACCGCTGTGCGCGGCCAAACCAGCCACTGTACATGCCCAGCTGCCCTGCAGCAATGATTCCATGGAAGCTATGACTTGTTGTCCACTCTCTGTGGCGACAGAAGCACAGCTCACGCGCGAAGGAATACCAAAGAACAGCTTTATATAAATGAGAATTAAAATAGAATTCATATGTGATAACTTTGTACGGTAACTAAACTTAGAAACATGAAAAACATGCGTTTATATAATATACAGTATACACACACACTTGTTTCAAACAAGAAGGCCTTGCAAAGAGAATTTGTAAAAAGGCGCGTATACGGCGTAGACGTCACTACCCTCAACTTATTATATATATATATATACATTGTTACAGTTTTGGCTGTGCTTTGGACCAGATTTTCCAAGCGCAAGAAGAAGAACGCAAGCTGTATTCTCTCTGATTCTCTCTCTCTCTCTCCCCTTTCTTCTATTTTGTTCTTCTTTCCATATCTCTCACAGACTTGCTATGTTTGAAACCTCGTAATAAATCTGTCTCTGTCAGCAGTTCTCGCCTGCAATGGAATTGCCAAGACTTGAGCCAAGTAGTCTTTTCCTTGGCCACATTTCTCAAGTTCTAGGGCCGGATCAGCGCAGCATTTCAGGAAGTAGCAACAAAAGGAAAAAAACGCAGTGGCAGGTAACACTTGACACCTCCGTAGGCTGTAGCAGTCGCTCCATTGAAGGGCCAACTGACCATGGATGACCATGGCAACCTGTGGAGACACCACGCGATGCTCTTCTCATCTGTGAAAACACCGTTTAGCCTTGCATATCCTGTTCTTTTTGTTTGCTTTTGCTCTTCATGTAGGCTGCCATGAGCCTACGACAAGAAAGACCTCCCCAGGTGTGGCATTCTTTTGCCCTGCGCTGGAACAATTCGTCTGCATTGCATTGCGAACAATGATTCCAAACACCTCCAGACAGAACAACTGTTTCGCCATCCCTTTCTCTTCACTATGTCCTCACCTACGAGTCACCACCCCACACCGACCCCCCTGAGCATTCCGCCCAAAGAACACAACCGCCCCCAGCCCCTTCTTCACCAGATTGTTTGGTTCGCCGCCTGCAGATTTACAGTTGAACTTGCGTAGTGAGAAGGATGCAGCGTTGTTGGTAGTTGCACTTTTATTGGAGTTTCGGATTTCTGATGGACAACAAACCATCACCCGAAACCTTACTGAGCCCTGCCGACCCTTTGGTTATCTGCAGCGAACAAAACTAGCTAACAGCTAGCATCTTTACAAGGAGTGCGGAATGCAATGATAAACATGCATTTTGCCGGACTGGAACCATCTTTGAACATGTATTGTTGCCAAGAAACCATCAATGGCGAGGAAACATTCTGATGACTCATTATAAGGACACTCGTCACTGGACTCAAACAAAAGTTTCGGCATTTGGTCACCATTCCGGATGTGTTGGAGTTCTTCTCAACCTGATACATACTCTTGTTCTGAAGGCTAAAATCTCAATGTGCCTCAGCCCACTGCGGACGGAGAAACAGTCAGGCAAGCTTCCAAGAATTGTTTTTGCAGCATCTAGGATCTCCAAGATCTCATCTTCTGTGTCAGTACCTGTCCAGGATCCAAGAGAGGATCACAGTGCAAATTTTAACTGAAAGAGACGCATGGTTCCAGCTACCAAAGCATCTTTAGCTGTAGCTCAACTGCGGCGCTCTCCCACAGCAGCCCATCAGTTTATTTGTGTTTACGCAATGACAAAACCACACAAGGCGTCTGGCATCTGTACGTAGCATGCGCGGCCTTCGGGCGATTGCAAGGATAAATGCATGGCTCTTGCCAACTCTTCCAGCGCCCACCGACCAGAATCCAACTCGGCTTGGACGACCTGAGACACGTGGCGGAAACAGAATGAAACAAGTGTTACATGGCAAACCTCCCTGTACAACTTTACCATTATCCAGCGTCCCCCAATCACAACACTAGCACATCCGGGTGTCGCTTCAATCAACTCAATCAGTTCCGCGCGCACGTCCGAGCAGAGCAATCTTTTTGGATGGCACACAACCTTCTACAATGCTAACCTGCGAACAGGTTCGGTACATATGTACATTTCTAATTCGTAAGTTTATGGTAACCTCCCCAGTACCCACCTCTTCTATGAAAACACAGTGTTTTACAGTCTTTATGTATGTTCGCGTTTTTACAAAAGTTTTTCTCTTTGCCCCCCTCGTGCACTGCACGTGAAGATTCTGTTTTAAGATCAACAAAAGAAGCGCTATCTAAAAACTCTTAAGCGATCTTAAGACTTTCCTGGAACCAAGAACCAAGATTGCACAGAAAGTCTTGGGGAGAATCTGGGTTCTGACGAGAAGGTTTTCTCGGAACCAAGAACCAAGATTATCCCCAAGACTTTCTGCGCAATCTTGGTTCTTTGGTTCCAAGAAAATCTAAAGATCCGGAAGAACATCTGGTTCCCAAAGACATTCTGCGCAGTCTTGATTCTTGGTTCCTAGTACTACTTCAGACACCTCCCATCGTGTCTTGCTTGAGTATTTCGTCCGCACGTGCCTCAAAATTCAGCGTTCCAAGTTAATGCAAGACTTGCGCTCGTATTCATTTCCTGTCTGCGCGACGACCTTTTTTCGGTGGCTGGACATTGTGGGCGCAAGGGCCACCCCGGCCCAGTCCGGAAAACCTCGTGAGTACAGTGAATGAGGGCATCCCAGTCGTCAGCCCACGGACAGAAAAGCCTTATACGCAATGCTTTGGACAGCGCTCAGCATGGCACGTCCGCCAGGTGGAAACAGGGGGGCTGGTCAAAGGGGGGGCTGGTCTGAAGAAGCACAGGCGCGGGCCTCCCAGCCTCAAGGGAAGTCGAACTGGTTCGAACTGACTCCACTAAGTTCACACACGAGAAATTGCTGGCCAAAGAAGTTGCTGGCCCTCAAGGACAAACCCTCCAGTTCATCTAGAGTCGATGGACAGCCCATGGCCAAAAAGAAGCGCGCAGTGAGATTAAATCTTCCGGTTCATCCTCTGAGTCTGAGTCCTCCGAGGCCCACTCACAATGAGGCGGCGTTGAACAGTCAGCTTGAGAAGGCCAAGAAAGACTTCAACGCCATCTTCTCAGCGAGAAGAACTGAAATTGGCCAAGGCCACCAACCAGAAGAAAGAAGCGGCCCTTACTCGACTGAAGCAGGAAATCGAAAGACTGCAGCAAGTGGAGAATGAGACAGACGTGGAGGCTATTATGATGAATTCCGATTAGGGGCCTGCCTCACTTCCTGCATTCTCGCACGGATTTTTATTATCTGCTCATGCCGATGAAAATGAGAGAGACATTATTCTACGTATTGCATTCAGGGTACGCAAGTTAAGGTTCATGTCACAAGCATTACAGCAATGCGTCATAGTCTCAATTAACAAAATCCGTAAGAACCTTGTCTGCACGAACATCTACGTAACAATCCATGTCTGCGTGACCATCATCTTAAAAAGGGCATCTGTTCTGCTGCTACGTCCCTTTCAAGTGTCTCCCTTGCAACATCTGCTGCTGGTCGGGGCCACGACGGTCAATGTACTAGTCGGCGCCCACTTGCCCCTGCCAGAGCTCCCTTTGAACCAGATAGACGACTGCATGTAAGAGAGTGCGAATTACAGAGAAACTGCCAAGATCATCTTGCCTCCACGTCCGTTGCCTAGCGGGCGCCACCTCAGCTTTGTCGCCTACGACAAACAGGATGGAACACTTGTTCTCAAGGCTCTGCACTTGGAGAAGCGCGTCCCAAAGCCAGAGGAGCCCCTGCACTGCAACCCCCTATATGCGCTTGCTGCTTGCCCTTCGACCAGGTCGATGGGCTCTCAAAAAGGCCATCTTTGGCTTGATAGACAGGCTGTCTGGCTTTCGTGTGACGTGACTTGGTTTATTCCCAATAAGCGCAGCAACGAGCAGGGCAGGAGCATTTGTCAGTCGCAGTCGTCTCAGTGGCTCCTGCTGATGAAGAGCTGCGGGCGGGAATCCAATATATGAACAAAATGCACCAGAATGTGATGTTGAAAATCAGCAGTGCTACTGGATCCCCTGCAACAGTAACATCAAAGAATATGTGCAGGCACCCCAATCTCCGGTTGGCCTGAAGCAAAGGTCAGAATCATGGCAGAACAAGGCCAAAGGGGCTCAGTTGGAGTTTGCGCGTCCCTTGAAGTATGAATGTTGCCTTCGTGTTCCTTGTCTGGCCAGGTGTTGGGAAAACACCAGCTGTTGTCATCATCATCACGATGCTTGCCGTGGGCCGCTACCATCGCCCTGGATGGCGCAGAGCCAGATCGCTGGACTGTCATTCATGAAGGCATCTTCTTAGATGATCCGAGCCGGGACGAGATCGACCTTGACGATTTGCAGTCGTTTGTCACGCTTGAAGAGGGACCAAACCAGCCACGGCCGCTACAACGATGTCAAACTTGCCAAAAATTGTTGCAGAGCCTACGCCGCCAATGACATTCAAGAACAAGATGACCCCAAGGATGACGAACGTCATTGCATCACCATGAACGAGTTCCTCACATTGCTGCGTCGCACTTTTCCTGGTAACAAGCTGACATTCGCGCGTTCTTGAAACGACTTGTCACGTTTGTCTTTGGCGTGTCAGCTTTGCACATCCGCCTCCCATGTCAACATGACACTGCTCCTATCCACCGCATTCAATTTCAAGACTTGCGCAAGGATGTCTTAAACCATCACAAATTGTTCTATGGCAAGTGTAAGAACGGCTTCATGGACAAGCCTGCGGACTTTGATACCGACGCGAAGTGAAGAAAGAGCAGGACGTGATCGAAGAAGCGATGAGCAGGTTTAACAAATAAACAAAACTCAGGACTATGTCTACCAAGTGAACGGGGAAATTGAAGACACGCTCCTTTATGAGACACCGATTCCTGATCGAGCTTGGCTACCGTCATCTCCTGAGTCCCGAAGCCCTTGCAGGGTTGCTCCTGTTTATCGACGTCCTCTTCCTGACCGCGCCGAAATTAATTGGAACGTTAAAATATCCTGCGCCAACCCAGAGGGTCAGATCTAAAAGTCGGCAGGAAGACTCCATGCGCACACACTTATTGAAATGCGTACTGATTCGAACACCGCTCGCCACACGGCAACCTAGGGTTACCAAAATCCTGAAGAAATCAGGAGAGGCCCAACGGAACCTATACAAAAGAAAGTGAGGCCAAAAGCGCAAGAGACCCAACCAACAAACGCGGAGCGATCAGGGCGACGAGGGAGTGAGGGAGTGAGGGGTGAGGGAGTGAGGGAGTGAGTGAGTGAGAGTGAGTGAGTGAGTGTGAGTGTGAGTGAGTGAGTGAGTGAGTGAGTGAGTGAATGAGTGTGAGTGAGTGAGTGTGAGTGAGTGAGTGTGTGTGAGTGAGTGAGTGAGCGAGTGAGTGAGTGAGGATGCGCAACAAGTAAGAACCCCGCAAAGATATGGAGGACAAGCAAGTGACACCAATGTTGGGGGTCAACCCAGCCAAGGCTTGTGAAGATAGGTTGCTTTCGTTTAGAACATGTGCCCCTTGAAGATTCTTGTTTTTCTAATTTTCTTACTCAACAACACGGTCCAGACACCCTGCCAGGAAGCACGACGGGCGCCTATTTCATTGCGCTTGCCAAAGACCTATTCTTGGTGAGATCTCGTATTGAAACCCACAAAACATTGACACTTGGTCAGGACATGCCCAAAAAGCAGCCTTATCACGCAAACGACGCCTTGCCCACAGCCAAACACAAACCAACCTGCCATGAAACGTGGCTACCAGCATTGACTGTTCTGTTGTCTTTCCCAATCGTATGAGCTGCGTTCGCGTACGTTGTTTTGGTGACCGCAATCGTTGTCATCCACTGGCGAGCGACTGCGTGGACCTTGGAAATGTGTAGCCTTTGGAGTCACAAGGTTCCTTTTGGAGTGTTACTGTGTTACTGAGCCTGATCAGTTCTGTGTACCTGCTTAAATTTTAGATTTGCAGATGCGAGCCATAAAGTGCTATAGTTGCATTCCGCAGACATGCACGTACGTCGTCACCCTGATCGCTCCGCGTTCGTGGGTTGGACTGCGCTTTTGGCCTCACTTCCTTTTGTATAGGTTCCGTTGGGCCTCTCCTGATCTCTTCAGGGCTTTGGTAACCCTAGGTTGCCGTGTGGCGAGCGGCATTCGAGTCAGCGCACGTTTCAATAAGTGTGTCTCTCCTCGTGAGAGGCCAGGGTGACCCCGCAGAGTGGCCCCTGTGGACCCGTTGAACGGGGGGTTGTCGCTGTTCCCCGTGCCCGGGAACGTAGGTGTCCGAAGCGGACAGCAGGAGGCTTATATATACCAAAGTTCCTTGCCAAGACTTGACGAACTATTGAACTCCAAGCTGGCTCTATGCCATTACGTGACCGCAGCGGTCCAAGCTGGCTTAACGCCACAACGTGGTCACAGCGACCGTAGTACTTTTTGGGTTCATTGGAACCTGCCCGCGCCTATTAAAGGGATGACATTTACCCGTCCCAACCTCAAACCAAAAAGGACGCCGCCCTTCGGGGGGGCGTGTGTGTGTAACCTTTGGAATCACAAGGTTCCTTTTGGAGTTATTGCTTTGAGTTTTGATTCGTAAGCAGGGGGGTGCAGAGCACGGAAACTTCACTCAACGAAGCTACCCACTTGTGCTGGAAGCAGAGCCTGATCAGCTCTGTGTACCTGCCTGAATTAAAAATTTGCAGATGTGAGCCGTAAAGTGCTACATTCCGCAGACATGCGCGTACGCTCCCTCACTCCCTCACTCCTCACTCCCTCACTCACTCACCCCCACCTCCACTCCACTCCAACTCCACTCCACCTCACCCTACTTCACACGTCC